TATATATATATATATTATATAGCTCATCGTCTACAAACGTTGAATCCAAATGCGAAGAAATTAATAATTAAAGTATTGATTTCTTGATGACGTAAATTGCAGTCGTCGACCTCAATTTCGAAAACCCAGTTTCAGTTAATGACAACTAACGACGTATACGTGAGACTGGATCACAGGATACGCCGACGTGCGCCTACGTTCCAGGAGTTGCGCCACCGCATCAATTGTACTCGATATCGCCAATTTATTGACTAGGTCACTCACCAATAGAACTTATCTCCTTGCTCAATATCCCATACACAACAAACAATTCGTTTAATTAGCAACGCAATTGGAACGTGTACGCATATTAATTCTTCCTTTTGACGATAAAGAAAACATCAATTAATACGAGGACTAAAAACAAAGTAACTGTTCTTGATAGTCGTCTTCACAAAGTCACATATTCATTTAGGGGGAAATGCTTCTTTAATAAAATATCGGATAGTCTCGATACCTATGTGATGTTTAAAATAAATATTGTAAATTACAAATGTGTACAATTGTTTAATGTATATATACAAAGAGCAAACACAAGAGCTTTTTGCTCATTCTTCTCTGGGGAAGCTGCCTTGCTAATGAGCAGTAGAATTTAATCAATATGACAATTTCAAGTGTGATTTGCTTACCTATGAAATTAAGGTTTTATTTGAGTATGAAAGAAGTTAAGTATATATCTGCATACACACATTGTAGGCCTTATAAAAATGCAAACCTTTACAGTAGAAAGTTACTGTATAACATGATTGCTAAGTATCAATAAATTGCAATGCGAAGTTTTAAATCAGTGAACGTAAAAACTAAAACAAAGAAAAACTGAACATATTACAGTAAGATAAACAAAACGTTAACCCTAAAATCTAGATCGAAAAATTAACATCAACGCGGCATCTGGAGCATTCTTAGGTTAAAATTAAAGTTCATAATAGAATACTTCACTATCTAATTAAGATTTCCCGGAACAATGAAAAGAGAACTAGGTATTCGAGAAAACTTATTTTTTGGATTATTTGTTCAGCAAATTTGTTCTTAACATCGTTATATACTTATGTGCATTGTGTATGTACGTCGTCTGTTTTCTCATTATATTATTTGGGTCAACGTTTTAGAAATGTTTGAATTTCAGAATTTTAAGTAATGATCAAATAAATCCTCAAGATAATGGAAAGATACCTACATAATGTAAAGATGTAGAGATATTTTCGTAGCGCTCGTGGTGATATGAGCTAGTAAGTACCGAGGTAACGCTGCTCTACTTAACTTTGTGTACTGCGCACAGAAACAATGTACACATTAATTTATTAAACATTTCAGTAGGAAATCTTTCGTAGTGTGATATCTCGGTACGAAAACCAGGTACCTTCTGCTCAGACAACGACACTGACGAGTTTGTTTGAAAGGCTTGGGATACAAATATTTTTTCTGTTGTGTCTACCTATTTGTAAATAAATAATGCAACAGGGTCAATTTACAGTGTTTTGTAAAGATGAAGAATAATGTGTGAAACACAAGTGTTGATGTGCTAGACGAGTGGCGAAGGAAGCTGGGACTTATCTCGGAAATTGCAGAGGATGCCCGCTTCGCAGACGACATTGAGCATCAATCAGGTGGAGCCGGCCAAATGGGAAACGCTCGCTAAATGATGCACACTTTGCTGTCCATTGTCATAAACAATTATTTCTTTTCTTCGTTGGAATAGTCGATTTGAATGATGCCATTCGACAGACATACATGCTGTATTTGCCGCTGTCTGTCTGTTTTCCTACAGTTGGAAGAATGCAGTTAATATAATATTTCGTTGCAATATTTTGCACATACAGTTAGTTACATTTGCATTTCAGCAAATGCTAACATGTATGTATAAACTTATCGATTTTAAACAAAACTTCTTTGTTTCGCTATTTTCTTCGTAATGAGGTCAATATGTCAAGACGTCCGTATCCAAGGCGACCTAATAACAAATTTTGATCATTGAAGCTTGAAGCTGTTATTTTACTGCACGTCTTTCTTATATCATAGTTTATTAGTAAAATATAATAGTTGTTTTAGGGAAATTTATTTTTGTTGATCTATCATGACTGTGCCGACTCCGTCGGCACCGAGTCTTTCTGCTCGTGTGTTTTATGGTCTTCGCACCGAGATACAGTGAGTACCTACTTGCTTTTATTTACTCAAGTTTTGAGAAGCTATTGGTGGCTTCTCAATAATGAGATAAGACGAAATTGTAAATAATGGGCAGCGAAAAAAATATCTATAAATCAACTAGAAGACTTCGTCTTAACGACTTCTATCGGGCAACTCCAGTTAATTTAATCAGTACTTCATTGACTCCACAACGTGTAAGTCCTTCGATTCTTATAATATGAATTATAATCGTTTCTTAAACTATGATGCTTATTCTAGATAAATACATGAGTAAAACTTTAGGACATTCAAGTTTATGATGTGGGGAAAGTACAACAAAAATGTTCTTGTACATAATAAATATTCCATTTTACGCAGATTCAATGCACATTATCTCTCGGAATCTGAAATTATCTACCCAGCTGGAGGTGTGATAGTGATCCACAACCATCTCCAGAAGAAACAGAAGTTCATCAGGCTCCAGGATAAACATAAGCCCATCAAGTCCTTGGTATTGGCACCAAATAGGTAATTAATATTTCTCACCATACTTAATAATAAAGCACACCTACGTATTGTCAAAAATATATCGAGATGATATGTAGGCAAAGACGAATCTACTAGTGCAGATATCATAGTAAATAATGTTGCTGATACTTAAATATTTATAGGCGTAAATTATACTTAGATACATATTTTTAACCGACTTCAAAAAAGAGGAGGTTCTCAATTTGACTGTTTTTTTGTGTATGGTTTAGATTACTCCGAGATTTGTGAACCCATTTCGATGATTCTTTTTTTTGTGTAAAAGGGTGTAATCTCAGTAGTGGTCCCATTCATTGAAAATAATATTCCACCTTTAAGTGTGTCAAATTAGGGCTTTGAATCTGGTTTATTGGATGTCACCCACCTACCGTTAACAGATTTCAATAAAACTTGGGAAAATGGATATAACGGATAAGCAACCTTTTGAGGTCGGTTTTGTTATAACGTTTGACGCTTTCCCAACATATAGGCTGGTTTCTGATGGATATTTGACGCAGAATTAAAAAATCAATACAAATATTATTTTTTAGTGTTTTACCTTTCATGTTGCATCGATACATAAGGCACACACTCAACATAACGCACACACTCAACATAGCCCCGCACTAGGGAAACCCTGTGTCACAGTGTCACAACTTACACCCAAACTCATGAGAGAAATATATGTAGGCCAAACAAATATTTCTCCCGGCCCGGGAATCGAATCTGGGATCTGTGTGTGGTAGTCCGGCATGGTAACCGTTCGGCCACGGAGGCAGAACATATATTTTTGTGAGCCATACCTACTCACAAAAACATAATGAAATGAAAATAAAAATGAAATAAAACGTTTTATAGTCGATCTTTACAATAATTTGCTAACCCTTCAGCTGTTTATAATATTTCAGACGATGGCAGTAATTTGCTAACCCTTCAGCTGTTTATAATATTTCAGACGATGGCTAGCACTGAATGAAATAGCGGAAGAGGGCCAAAAACCAATAATCACCATTTACGATCTAACAACATATAAGAGACGCAAGATACTCACTGTGCCGTTCGAGAACTCAACAGCGAGGGAATTCTGCTGTTTACAATTCACTTTTGATTCTAAATATCTTATAGCTGTAACCGGTGAACCTGATTGGTATTTGTATTATTATAATTGGGATAGAGGAAAAGTAGAGAGCCATGCAAAAGCCCAGAATCCCACGGGCCAAGGGACAGTTGAGAGCGTAAGTTTTTTCTAAGCATCTTAGATTTTCGCGATTGTTACACGTAGGAAATGAAATCAACATCAATAGTGTCTTAGGTCTTAGTATTAAGAACGTTTTTATCAATTACTAAAAAGCAGGTTTTTTAATTATTGTTTTTTAACATCACGGTACTTTTTTTGGTAAATTTCATAATTTAAAAAATAAATAATAAATTTTTATAGATATTTTTATTAAATTTTAATAGAGTAATCAAATATTTAAAAAAAAAAGCTTGATCCCTAGACACTTTTGACGAGTGTATCTCTTCGAATCTAAATCTCGTACATTTGTTGACAGTCAGCTATGACTATGGAACCTGAAAAGGACCCGAAATGTTTGTTTAAAAAAACAAATATATGTGATTTAGATCTGAAAAAATAGTTTCATTTCTTGTTTTCCTAAGCATTTTCATTTAGAATGTACCTTTTAGCTCACTTCTTCATTTCCAGTGAATCAAATGGAATTACTTTGTTTTCCCGTCGATTTATCGTATACTATTTGCGAAGTCTTGTCGTTTGAACGAGGAGGAAAGGAATTCATTTTGCATCTTATATTTGTATTGACCTATAAACCATCCAGTGCTGGGGGCATTGGTAAAACAACTAACTGATTTTCATGTTTAGGTGCAATGTAATCCTACGGACGCAACATTGATTGTCATAACGGGTCCATATACCTTCCGCATTATGAATGTTGCTGAAACTGTTTGGCGTCAATGGGGTTGGTGTAAAGCTGAAAATGTAAGCGTATCTAGTAATATAAGCGTAGCAGTGTAGAGCTCCTTGTGAAAGAGTTATTCCAGGATAGTACTGCCATCTTACCTGTTTTTTGCCGTCATGCAGTAATGTCAGTACTACTGGGTTCCGGTTTTGAAGGGCACGGGTGCTGGTGAAATCTCAGGCATATGGGACTTGACAACTTATGTGCCAGGGTGACGGGCGCTGTGGCAGTGCCTCTCAGATCTTTGCTATTTAAAGCTCTGAGTGGCACTGCAACTGTTATAGACAGGCGTGTAGCTTACCATCAGGCGCACGACTTATTCGTCCCGTCACTTAATATTATAAAAAAATATCTACTTATAAGACATTCTTATGCAATGTAAATAATCTGGACGTACAGAGTTGCCTTTCTTGTGTTCTGTTCTGTTATTCTGCGACATTTTTTCCTATAACTTTTACTTTCATATAAAGGGATTAAACAAATGTATGTGTGTAGTCAGATTTAGTTTAACGAATTTTAAAAAGTAGTTTGATGTCAAAAAAGTAGTTTTTCGATTTTACATCATAGATTATACAGTTATTTATATGCGTGAGTCTCTGATTTTTTTATGACACATCCTGTAAGAATGACCGAGTAAGAAAATTGTGATATATTGTTATGTGTCGGATGTCACCTATATGCTAAATAACGTAATTGCTGTATGCGTGGGTAGATCAACATTACAACGTGTATGTGGTTGACGCCGGATCGCATCATGTTCGGAACAGACAACGGGCTAATCATGATGGTGGAAAACGGCGAGATACGGCTCAACTGCGTGTTTAAGGCCTACGATGTTATGGAGATGTCTTTGAAAAAAGTGGACACGGAGTAAGTAGCATACTGTGACAACATTAGAGCAATAAAGCACCTTGTGAAAGAGGTTGTCCGGACAAGTACAGCCACTTGCCTATTTCTGCCTCAGGGTGACGGGTTCAGTGGTAGTGCCTCCCAGATCTTGGCGATTTAAAGTTCTGAGTGGCACTGCACCTGTTAAGGACAGGCATGAAGTTTACGATCAGGCGCATGACTTGTTCGTCCCGTAACATAACATTATAAAAAAAATTAAAAATTAATACAGCAGCGCTACAGACGCTCGCCACGCTACAGTCGCGTCTAATTTGAAGGCGCCTTTAATTAAAAGCCTCGATTTTCTTTAAAACTCTATTAAAAATTATTTTTTGACATCAGGTTCTTTACTTGTCACCTACAGATAGTACTCAATACAACGAAATGATTAAAATAAATATAGATGCTCATAACTAAACTGTATCTATTTACTGAAATTGCAGGGCTATTGAAGACGATAAAGGCGGGGATAAAGCAAGTACGTCCAGTAAACAAGATACGACGGAAGCTGTTTCCGAGGAAGAAACCTATCCGGTTACCAATTTTGTCAACTTTCCCAAAGGTAATCAGAATACAAAAACGTAATAAACGTCAATATTATTTGAATCAAAAATATTTAAACATTCAAAGTAACAAATGTATATATGTACATATAGTCACTTCAAGTAACTTCCCGATACTGATTATTCGGGTGCCTCGAAACATTTGAACAAAGAATCATAAAATTGCTTTTATTATTTATTATTTAAATTGTCATAATGTTTTACTATGATGTTCTTTATATTTTTTATAATTAGTAGCAGTACAGCTCCTTGTGAAAGAGTTCATCCTGGGAAGTAGGTACTGCCACCTTACCTACATTTCTGCCGCCAAACAGTAATGTGACTATTATTGCGTTCCGGTTTTGAAGGGTAAGGGTGCTGGTGAAATTACGGGCACATGGGATTTGTCAACTTATGTCTCAGGGTGACGGACGCAGTGGCAGTCAGATCTTTGTGATTTAAAGCCCTGAGTGGCACTGCAACTGCAGTGCTATGGATAGATATGTCGTTTACCACCCGCCGCGTGCATTGCTCGTCCCGTCACTGGGTATTATAAAAAAAATCATTAAGTTTTTTATGAAATTACTCGATTAGGTATCAAATTATTAATCCAAGGATCGGACACAAAGAAAAATTCCTTCGGTCTGACCGAACCTACGTGCGTTTGTATGCTTGTGGCTCTAGTTGGCATACAGACGTAGACTCGTAGGAATGATTCTTTGTTTTCGATCTTTGTATTAATAAATTAAAATAAACGTAACATTTAGGGAGTCCGTTGGTGACGAACTTGTTATTTGTTGCATGTTATTAAAATCATAGGTCTAAATAAATATACACATAAATGCATTCGCAATTGGGAGTCACTACATTTATTTACGCGGAAGCACGCTTGAGCCGGTCAGAAAATATATTTGTTGTTTTGCTTCCGCTTGAACTGTCCGACGCGAAACGCCCATCTTTTTCACTCTTATTATTACATGGACATAAAGCTTTTTCTGATCGGTTTAATGCGATTCTATGTGGTAAGTATGATGACCACCTGTTCCTAATACCATATTCAATTTACAAAGGTTTCGCCTATGCTTGTGGCCCTGGCTACGTTCACATGTTTGAAAGGGAAACACCGCACCATTTTAGAAAGAGGAACGTTTTCCGTATCTCGAAAAAGTCTTACAAGTGAGTAAAATAAAACATTTTAATATGTTACGTTTAATACTCTATGTTAGATTGGGACCTTCGGCATTTTGACGAATTATTTAGTAGCAGTAGAGCTCCTTGGGACCGAGTTCGTCCTGGAAAGTACTGCCCACATTACCTGTTTCTGCCGCTGATATGAGCATTACTGCGTTTCGGTTTTAAAGGGGCATGGGATTTGTCAACTGTGTGTCTCAGAGTGACGGACGTAGTGGTAGTGCTTGATACTGTAACTATTATTAGTAGGCGAGTTGGTTACCACCAGATGCACGATTTGTTCGTTCCGTCGCTTGATATCGTAAACGGCGTTGACGATGTCTAGGAGGGCGGCCCCGCAACGTGCCTGCTATCGTCGGGTAGTTGACACCAGACAACATGGAAAGTTGAAACTAGATCGCCAGCTAGGGGAATACTCATACTTATTAGATTTTTCAATTTTTTTTTATTTAGTTCAGAAGTAATTGGTCAGCCTCTATAATACACATATCTATGTATGAGTAGGAATGCCAACATCTGCCTGCTACAAGCACACAAAGGCACCAGTTATAAGCATTAGTATATTCGCTTTGTAGTACGTATTGCGATAAACTTTTTTCAGACATACGCGTGAGTACCCAACGTGGTCCCCTCTTGACGCCGTACAGCATATCATAGTCGACCCGAATCAGGAAACACTGCTTATCACTACTTTGAGGAAACAATTATATTACGTTAAACTGTTTGGTGTACATATGCTACAGGTACGAATATTTTTATTTTAGTAGCAGTAGATGTTCTTGTGAAAGAGTTCGTCCTAGGAAGTACTGCCACCTTACCATTTCTGCCGCCAAGCAGTAACGTGAGCATTACCTACTGTGATTAGGTTTTATAGGGTTCTGGTGAAATTACAGACAAATGGGACTTGTCAACTTATGTCTCAGGGTGACTTCACAGTGGCAGTGCCTCTCACAAGTTTGTGATTTAAAGCTCTGAGTGGCACTGCAACTATTATGGACAGGCGTGTCGCTTACCACAAGACGCATGACTTCTTTATCCCGTCATTATATATAAAAAATGTTTAGGACTGAATAATATAAAATATCGAAGTCTCTTAAAGTTTAACACCGGTGTCAGACAATTGCATACCTACTTAGATATTTCATCCATATCGTGCAATACAATCATTAATATGATTAAGACTTTACACCTAACTGGAAAGCAATGTTTTTGTAAAAAATTTTTAGTTCTAATAAGGATTCTCTGATCGCTACATATTATGCATTAGAATGTTGGTTTAAGAATTGATTTATACTTATTTATAGAACCCAGAAATACCGTTTAACGAACTCGGCCCTGCTATGCATTATGGTCGAATAAACTCTTTGTCAATGTGCGCGTGGAAACCCATCTTCATAACCTCTGGAGAACAGGACAAGAGCATTAGAGTGTGGAATTACATGACCGACGATATTGAACTTATTAAACTGTATCAAGAGGAAATACACTGTTTATCTTTACACCCAACGGGTAAGGCTCATTTAGCTGGTTACGTGTGTGTATGCATTGAGTGAGCATCCTCTGAAAAACGTCTATAAAATATTTGTCATTTAGTAGAAGTTCTAAAACAATTTCAGAAAAAAAATTCTATTCGTAAAAGATAAAACAAATAATAAGTAACTTAATGTGTGCTCACTCAATTCTCACAGAGAAGCACTAGTCAGATCTCGAAAAGTAATATTCGTGTACTACTTTTTAGTAGGTGGTAGTTTTGTGAAATTATCGTGTTTAATTACAGAGTTTAGTTAAAAATACTCTCTCTATCTGAACATTTACGCGCCTCTCTTAAAGTAAAAATCTCTTCCAGGCCTGTTTGCAATAGTAGGATTTTCGGACAAACTCCGCTATATGGTAGTCCTGATAGACGATTTCGAGGTAATGCGGGAGTTCCCTATTCGCAACTGTAAGCAGGCGAGATTCAGCACCAACGGGCACCTATTCGCAGCTGTCAATAGTCAAGTTATACAAGTATTTTCCTCCGTATCTTTCCAAAATGTCTTCAATTTGAAAGGACATAATGGAAGGGTGAGTTATTCCTTGTTTTGTCAAAAATTAAATTTTAATTTAACGACCTCGGTGACTCAACAAACGGGTGCAAGACAAAGAGGTTCTGGGTTCAATTCTCCGATTTGGGAAGTAAATTTATTTCAATTGGTTCTAGTCTGGATGCAATGGGTAATGCCAAGGAATGAATTCCGTTGCTCGAATATATAATAGAGCACGAAATTACCTAATTTGAGACCAGGTAATTGGTGTTGTTGTCTGGCACATTATTAATTCACCTAAGTTTCATAACTTCTACAGATTACGAGTTTGGCGTGGTCAGCGAATGACTTGATTCTGGTATCGTGTGGAGCGGAAGGAGCTGTGTACGAATGGAGTATGTACTCAGGACAACGCGTGGGCGAAATTATACTTAAAACCAATCAATTCAATGCTTGCGCTGTTAACAAGTCGGTTTCTTTCATTTTAGACATTTTGTATTTAAATGTTCTTTTTAACACTTCTTATTTTATAATATTTATTTGTTAAAAATTATGATTTCAGTATCGGTAAGACAACATACGCAGTTGGTTCAGACGGAGAAATCAAAGAAATCGGTTCCAACTCGATACGAAGAAATTTAGGCTTGATCGGCTGCCCACTTGACACCATAGTACTATCTCGATCGGACATGATGCTCTTTATAACCGGCGGAGAAGGTGGTGTTACTGCAGTACAACTGCCTCTACTGGATAAAGCCCTTTACAATGAATTCCATATGCATAATAAGAAAGTGACCTGTATAGCTTTGTCTTACGACGATCAGACATTAATATCGGTAGCAGAAGATGCCTCGATATGTCTGTGGAGATTAACGAATGCTGACGGCAGAGCTATAGCTTTAGATAAAGACTTCGCATACGCGAAGGAAATATTAATAAGCAAGAAAGACTTGCAAGAGAAATTGAATAGTATTCACGTTAGTTGCACCAATACGATACCATGTACTTACATGTATGTATATCATAATGATATTAAATGTTGATTTATATTTTCTAGCTTCTCAGTACAAGAATGAGTGAATTAGAAACAGAGCACTCTTACCAACTTCGCCAGGCCGAGGCCACGCAGGCCGAGAAACTTAAGGAAGTCCACGAAGGTTACTGTGCAGCTATCGAAGAGCTTAAAGAAAAAAACGAGGTGCGTTCGTAGCAAATTTCCTGTCAATGAGTTGTTTTTCGTAATGAGCATTAAAGCTGAAATGGACACGTTTTACAGGCCCTAGAAAATGAACACACACACGAGATAGGTATGATTCAGCAAGACATTGTAAAGTTGACGTCTGGACACGAAAGAGCACTACAATCATTGGAAGCAGACTTCAATATTAAATTAATTGGTGAATACGACCGATACCAAGTAAGAAAAATGCAATAATTTATTAATTTTAAAACTTATTAATTTTAAATCAATCATCAAAGAATTAACATTTTGTCACGCGTTATAGGCACTCGAAGACAAAACAGCAAGAATGAGAAAAGACTATGAGCAACGGTTGGAAGATCTTGCAGAGAGCAAGCGTCAAGCACTCAGAGAAATGAATAACCAGTTTGAAGAAAGGTTAGAAGAAAAGGAAGTAATTCTCTTAGAGGTAAAAGCGAAATTAATTCGAAAACAATAACCGTTAGTAACTATTGCTAAACATATTTATGTATTTGGCGATAGATTGACGATTTCTATTTTCTTTACAGTTGCAAGAACAATTTGACTTGGAAAAACGAGAACATGAAACAATTAAGACTTCAATAGAAGATGATGCTGACAGAGAAATTGTAGAAATCAAAGCAGCGTATGAAATGCAACTGAAGGAAGAAAAAGATGCCAATGTCCGACTGAAAGGTGAAACGGGTCTGATGAAAAAGAAACTTATAACAGCACACAAAGAAATAGATGAATTGAAACATCAAGTTCTGCAACTTAAAGGTATTTTTGTTGTAAACATTTGGTATTGTTATAATTGACATAATAAGAATAAGTAATTTGAAATTAAAATTATTTACAGCGGAACACAAACAGTTCCAAAAAGTAATAACTACCTTGGAAAGAGATGTGATAGATTTAAAGAAAGAAATAGCTGAACGTGATAATACGATTCAGGACAAGGAAAGAAGAATATATGAACTCAAGAGGAAGAAACAAGAACTGGAAAAGTACAAATTCGTATTGAATTACAAAATAACGGAGCTGAAAAATCAGGTCAGTACACGGTTTTAAATTTTTCAATCACATTAAATAATGACAATTATACCGATTTCAAGAATTTTCGTAGATTGAACCTAAAATGCAAATGATTAACGAGTTACGACTCCAGATAGAGGATATGGAAAACGAGGAATATAAGTTAGACATAATTAAGATTGATCTCGGTATGAATTCTGTGAATTTATGTTTTAACTGTATATTGAACTTGATTAGTACATAGGTATACAACTGTACGTAAGAAGTTACAGCTACAAATATTTCATTATTAACTTTTTTGTGACAGATTGAGCCGTTAGAACGTGAAATCAAAGAAAGTAAATTTCGAACACTTGAATTGGAAGTGTCGTTAGACAGCCTTTTAAAGAAAAAATCTTTCCGCGGTAATCGTTTGTGTTATGTGATATTTTCGGTTGTAATTCTTTTCGCTGTTGAATTGTACACTAATAACAACGAGTGTGGTAGAAATTGCACAGTATTTTATAGCTGTAAAATGAGTCTTGGATTGCACCTATGTTAACAGTAGGTATTTAATCACAAATTAGCCTAGCACAATACATTACTATGAATATTGTTAGGGATAGATTTACCAAAGAATATACATTTCTAATTTTAGAACTGAAGATAACTCAACTGAATGAGAAGCTAACGTCGGCTAAGAAGGATTATTTCAGTGAAACAGAGAGAACTCTGATGTTAAAGAATACATTGAAAAAGATTAAAATTGATTTGCACAACATGTCAGCCAACCTTCAAGATCCCAATAAGTTGAAGATGAATGTAAAAGTAAGATATTGTAATTGTATGTATTTTAAATTTACAATAAATGTTGACGATCTCCATGGTCCAACGGTTTACTCCAAAGATGGGCACACATTTTCATTAGGGGCCAGAAAACGTAACAAATTTCACCGTGTTCCCAATTAAAAAAAATGCATTTTCATTTCATATATTTTTATTAATGTGATTTGTTGTTTTGTGTTTGTGTAAACATAATGTCATTTTGTATGTCGATAACGTCGAGGGCATCAAAATCTATTTCCGAGGACTTCTACTTTAGAGGATTCATTGGCGGGCCGCATTAAAGCCCGGGCAGGAGTTGGTCTGTGAGTCGCTGGTCAAATTGATTTGGTTAGAATATTCTATAGTGCTTAGTACTGAATTCCGTTGCTCTGATACTCATAGTACGGGGCAGTCTGTAGTTTCCATGTAATTATTTTTATTTTTTATTTTATTAATTAGACACAACACAACAGTTCACAAACCATGTACAATACTTAATATTAATTTAATTCTACAACACTCTTTAGCTTGGAACAGATGAATTGTGCACAACATTTAAATGAAACAGATTTACTTAAATATTCTATTTAAAAATAAAAAAATGAAATATCATTAAAATTAAAAAAGTTTGAGCAAACCATAAATTAAAAATCCACAAAAAATAAGCAAAATGAAAGCACCTAGTTTTGAGACCTCAAAGACGCTGTAAATGATTTTAAAGATTGGTGGATATCTACCTCAGTGCTGACCTTATTACAATTCCTGCACATACGAAACAACGGATCATTGTATTGTACGAAACGTTGTATGTTGTTCGTGGCACATAATAGTTATTTTTGATATAAGTGCGGAAAGTTAGTTATTATTCACGAGGCTCGAGGCTTCTTGGCCCGAGCCAGAGGCGAGGGTCAAGACGCGAGACAAGTGAAAATGACAAATCCGCACGTGTATCAAACGACGTTTTTTAATACATTTGCGAAAAAACTACATTGAAAGTAAAATAAAACAGTATTTAAAAAAACTCTTTTTGTGCTAGTAAATTAAAATAATGAAATACAACCACTGCAACCATTATTTAAAAGTCTATGGAAATATAGTTCTAACGTGCTGTTTTTGTTCATTTTCTGTAATATCGGTCTGTAACCACTTTTCTTATTATGAAGTCCTGGTACTTTTGTTTAAACTTCTTTAGGAACCCGTGCACGGTAGTGAGATACAACTTATCTGTAATACATAGAACAAATAAATATATACATAAAAATCTCGCCTGTCACCCATTCAGGGGTAGGCAGAGACTGTGGACCTCCACTCGATACGTTCATTATATAGTATTTGTAAATAAATATAAGTTTTAATGACGAATGACATATGTACGTCACAAAGCACATAAATATTAAATAAATATACAACTTCTTTAGTTCTATGTTTAAGACTTAAAACAACAGTAAATTAAAAAACTGGAAAAGTAAAAAGCACTAATACTCAATCCAAATCCAACTTTCCGCACGATTTGTAGTGTGAAAAATACCCCGTTTTGAGCAACTGTATTAAAAAAAAGTTTTTGCGTGCGGTATCTTCCAATCATAATCCCAACCCGCTCTAACAATTCACTAGCATCCCACACAGAGTTAACCAATTTATATAACACGGCAAAGCTGTGCGAAGAGCGTCTACTCTCTAAGCTGTCAATTTTAAAATACTTTAACAAGATAGGTTAAAGTATTTTAAAATTGATGTACGACGTATGACGTATGATGAGAGCCTACGTCTTAAACCCGTTTTAGTGCTTAAATGTCTCAAGAAACGCTTCTGTATAGATTCAATTCAATTATCGTGGTTGTGTGCCACTATTTGTGTAGGATACTGGGGTAGCGATCGTAGGTGTCCAATGTTTATTTTTAGGCACATAAGATGAAGCCACCAACTTTGTGATTATACAGGTTATGTTAAATAGTGTTTATTTGACATTTTTCAACGTAGTATCGTTGTCATTCGTTTTTATCTATTTATTTATAGGTCACTTGTTCGTCTACTATAAAGGATCTTATTAGGGCAGCTTAGCTCAACACAAAACCTTATACTTTCTACATTTCTGCCTATTCATTTATTGGGCTGTAACACACAGCCCGATAGATGAATGCATGAATGCTGCTCACAGAAATGGAAAAAAAACAGAAAAAAATGTATGTTGAGACCGCCGTAAAACAAAAATATAATAACACACATAATGTTATTATTTTAATATCAATTGACAAATGTTTCGGAAGGAATAAGCAATCAATAAGTACTAAATGTTCCAAGTTCGAGAAATTAGCAATGAAATTCGATATTAGGGCCGTCCCTTTTTGTAATTTGTAATAAATCCTAAAATAAACCTTTTCGTACTTTAAAAGACAATATTGTAACGTACCTACTCTAGAAGTAAATATAGCGATTTTCAATGTTAAATAGCTCTTATTTCGTACAAAAAAGTTGAAACATACATGTCATGGTCAATTTATAAGAGACTTCATAATTAATTTTAAATTTAATTGGAAACAACAGACGCTGTTCCACAAATACGTAGAAGACATAGACTTCATCCGCAGTCGAATGCAAGATGATGAGGCCATACGCGAGTTCAACCGCCAGAGGGACCATTTGGAGAAGCAGCTAAATTCCGTCAAAACTCAATTGCAGAAAGCACTGAGTGGCTCTAAAGGAGATATCAATAAGATTATGGATGTGAGTTCAATAGTATATAATTTCAAAAATATATCAGGGATCTGCATCACAGTCTTTTTGAAACATTCGTTGAAGGTTGAAGAGCCGTGATGAAACCGACACTGCCCTCCTTATCATACCTAACTAACGTAATCGAAAATTTTTAGCTAAATTGAGTTATTAACATGATATAGGATAATCGAAACGAGATCTACAATCCCCTCTAATCCGTTTTTTATTATCTTAATTAGTTTGTTTTATTGTTAAGCAAAGTCAGCGTAATTGCTATTTTTTTATGTGACTATAAAACTTTACGTGCCAATATCTCGAAAGGTACCGAAATGCAAATGCGTTAGTATGACAAGGAGTGCAGTACATATCAGGGCGCGTTCCCATTATGTCGTGACGGCAGATAGTCGTGCAATTTAAAGTGTCGTGGCTTGTATATTTAAATGAAGTTGTTCACATATAGTGCAACACGATTAATTGTCGTTCACGGCTTTTATGATGTTACGACGACAGTCTGTTGTGACATTGGGTAGAGCTAGAACGACAGTCGTGGGTTCAAGAGTCTATCGCACAAACTACAAGGTGCCGCGAACCGATAAATTTTCGACGACTAGCTGTTGCTAGACACGACTGTCGTTCAACGATAAAAATAAACGTCCGCGACACAGTCACGACAGATAGTCATGGGAACAAGCTAGACGCGACAGTCGGCGTACAACATAATGGGAACGCGCCCTCAGAAGTTTACAAAACTATTAAAAGACGAGTTAAGTCCTTAGTCCGCATTTGGCCATCGTGTGTGTGGACTGTCGTATTTATGGTGTAAGCTTTCTATTTAGAGGGGATCCCAGTCCAACATTTGGTGTATAATGAATTCGTAGTGATAGTAATTAGCGCCGCGATTTCTATCTTATTGTTCTAGCGTTACTTCAGCTTTTTAAGGGACATTAGAAAAAGGCAACGATATTATAATAGATTTGAAGCAAATTACTGTGTTGCATGCGGCAATCCACAGAAATAAAAAAAGATGAAATCGCGTATACTTGTTTTGTCAAACGTTGAGAAGTAATCCAACCAAACCAACGAACGTTGAGAAGTAATCAACCGATTATGTCAAATATTACAGCAAACTACCCTATTCCGAATTATTACAAAGTTAATAATTTTAATATTATTAACTTAAAGGTTATTAATTTATTCTTAAAGAACACTCCAATTTACGCTACATTCGATTTGTATACATTAGTTTGCTTGAAAAAGAAAATATAAGCGATTTAGGGCGCCTTCTAGTTTGACACTTGTAGAAGCGCTGCAGTGGCGCGACACTAATACTTTTCATACAATATCTAGTCTGAAAAAGTGCAGCGCGCGTGGCGCGACTGTGGCGCTGCAGCTGCGCTTCTAAATATTATATGATTAGTAGTGGGGCGGCTGTAGTGCGCTTCTTAAGCGTCTAATTTCAAGGCGCACTTAGATCCTAAAAAAAAAAAGAATTCCAATGTGTAGCAGTCGCGAAGTCCTAAGAAGTTGACCAACAATAATGTTGCAAATTAACATGCTCTATTGTAAATGTTATACATAAAATAACCGGAGGGCAATATCCAGTAATATATCGACTCATCCCAAGAACAGAGTCCGATGTGATTATATAGCAAAAGAGAATAAGTACGTTACGAGAATAATTTCATTATTCAAACTAAGATCTATGTAAAGTCTATTTGAGAATTTATATATCTTTTTTCGTTTCGGAAATTATAAAATTGAACAACAGTTGATCTGACATCCACAGCGAAGAACGAACGAAATGTACTATGTCCTGAGAACAAGTAGTCTTGTACATAGATCTTTGTTCTACGGATGAGTCGATATATCGATACTGAATACTTAACAAGTTAACTATAGGAAATTAAACTATTTTTTGGATCTAAATCGGCTGGGTCAGGCGTGACCATGGAACCTGTAAAGTTGATTTGTTTGAAAAGAAAAACAAAGATACGCTATTTGGAATTGAAAAAATAGTTTCGCTTCTTATGTGTAACAATCACGAAAACCTAGGAACTCGAAAAGTTATCGAATATACTAAAAGCTTTTTGTGTGACAGACTGTGTTGATTCTCGTTTTCTCAATTCTAGGAGAACTGCACACTATTGTCAGAGATCAATCAGCTCCGAATCGAGTTAAAGTCGACACGAAGTCGGTGTTTCCAAATGGAGTCAATACTTGGCCTGTCGGCACGCTATGTTCCGCCAGCTGTCGCCCGGAATAAGTTGAAACACGTCACCGAAGATCGAGAGAAACTGGACGAAATGTTCAATGCTAAAATCGATGTAATATTATCCTGTTTTACAATTATTTTACACCCGGATACATAATTCGAGCTATCTTGCTTTTACAGTACCTATAAAATTACCAGCTTTAAAAAGATTTCATTGATCAAAAACTATTTATGCAATTTGCAAATTGGTTTACTAAACATTATTTCCGATAACCTATCACAAACTGGAATTTATTTTTTCCGAAATAACGTTTGTTCGAATTTTCATTACACCGAAAACAGAATTATAACGAAACCGTAGTTCTTTCAGGATATGTTGGATGTTTTTCGAAAAGACACGATTAGGTTCGGTTAGGGTTAAAAAAAAAAAAAAAAAAAAAGGTTAAATTAGGTTTAAAAGAAAAAAATTGTCAAAATGTTGACTGTATTTCACAAATAGCCCTGTATTTGTCCCTTTTAAAAATAAAAATGCTTCGAATGATGTGTCTGAGTGTATATTCCAAAGACTATAGTGATGGTGGTATGTTCTAATACCAGTATAACCAAAAGGACCGTTCAAATTAATATACAATCAGCATCAAAACCAACCAAAAACATCTACAGATACAAAGTGGTTAATATCTTTTATATTTACACTTACATTGTCATTGAACGGAATGGAAGAAAGCAAATATTTGTAATCATAGCATAATGGACTTTGTCGATTGCGTAACGTCGAGATACGAGCCAAAAAAACAGGACGCGCGTCTTCCGGAGAATTCTCGCGCTGTCTGGAATTCCTGTAAGAACCGAATCGTATCTAGTTATACTATTTTAAGTTATACTATTGACATAAGAACATTACGCTATGCCAATTTCGTTACAAAAATTCGCTTCCACTCCAATTTAACCATTAATGTTGTTTACTTGTGGTGTGTATCTACTCTAAGGTGGTTTTCCATCGACAAGGCGAGTCGAGGATTGAAATTTATATGACAAAATTTAAATTCTCTCCTAGCCCATCTTCAGTGGAAATGATCTGGATTGATGAGGATGAGCAAGGCGAAAATTGAAATATTTATTGATCGAATATTGAACCGTATTGTTGCCTACGTAGAGTATTATACTATGCAACGGAAACACTATTTGTCGCGCGCAATTTTTGGTGGAAATAGGCCGTGGCCGTCAGGATGGCTGGTCGCCTGTGGCGCCTGGCACTGAGTGTATATTCAAGAATTGCTACCTTTTCTAAACAATTGCTACATTTGATATATTCTGAGAAATTTAAAAAAATAATTGACCAGCCATTCCAATATCAGGATGGCTGGTTGCCGCTTTGTTCAGCATAAAGGGAGCAGATTTTCCAGAAGTATGTATTACCAATAATTGCTACCTATTTGCTACTCTCAGGAATTAAAGGTATACGCTTCCTATCTACATAGTTAAAAAAATATAAACGATTGAAAATTTGATGAAGAAGTGCCAACGCCTGTCCCTTATATTACGGCAATAGAGCACTAAAACTTTTTGCTTTTTTTAATTTAATCAGGCACTTCGGAAAATTTTCAATCGCTTATATTTTTTTAACTAATGAAGTTATGAAGCGTATACCTTTAATTCGCGAAAGTAGCAAATAGGTAGCAATTATCGGTAATACATACTTCTGGAAAATCTGCTCTCTTCATGCTAAACAAAGTAGCGACCAGCCATCCTGATATCAGAATAGCTGGTCAATTATTTTTTAAATTTCTTAGAATATATCAAAGGTAGAAATTAATTAGAAAAGGTAGCAAATAGGCAATTCTTGAATATACACTCAGTGCCAGATGCCACAGGCGACCAGACAGGATGGCTGGTCGCCTCGGTCACAATAAGTCGGCGAAATTTCAATATTCGTCTCTTCTCGTTCGTAACCTAATGAATACCTTCACCATGCTGAACTACCACGCAGAGGCTCCGGGTTCGATTCCCGAGCCGGGAGAAATATATGTAAGGTCTACATTTATTTCTCTCGCGAGTTTAGGTGTAATTTGTCGTCATCTATTGGTACGTCTATGGCACTAGGGGCTATATGAGAGTGAGCAAAAAAAATGCGCTACTCGCATCCAGCGGTCTCCCGCGACCTTTTAAAGTTCATTCATAATTTCCCAAGTAGTAATATAACCGATATACTTCTGTTTTCAGGAAAAACAAGACGTAATAAATACTCTTAAGCTAGAGAATGATCGCCTGTTGAGTAAAATCAGATGCATTGAGGAGGATGACCCTGACGCCCGTGGGGATAAACCAGGTGTAGCAAGAGACTCGTTTTAAGCACCCCAAGCGGAAGACCATTCATTTGAACATGATAATATCTATCTAACGCTATTATGTTAGAAGTGTATGAATATATTTCTCGAGAATTGTAATTCTCGACAGCTGTGCCGTTTTAATTCAATAGATAAAGACTGCTCTTTATTTGCCTTTAAATAAAAATTCATATTCGACAACATCACATTCGTTGTACTGAAGCACTCGTGTCATAGAAATCGGGCACAATGACGATACCACAAACACCCAGGCCTGAGACAATTATAGAAAAGTTAGTTTTTCTACCCGGCCGGCGATCGAACCCGGGACCTCTGAGATGGCGACATCATGAAAACCAATGTGCAAGCCACTCTATCATGGAGGTCGTCAAAAACCCATATTCGAAGATTTTAACAACCTACTTTCTATTTATTAGAATAAAATATAATAAGAGGCCGTGGTGGCCTAATGGCCAACCATTAGGTTGCTTATAGGTGGCGGTAGCTACAAGACCTATCGCCTCTCAAACAGGGACGTGGGTTCGAATCCGGACTTGAACCCGGAATTTATGTGTGAAATTACGTTTTTTTTTTATATCTAATGCCAAGTGACGGGACGAACAAGTCGTGCGCCTAGTTTGAAAGTGAGGAAATCTGCACACGTATGCAAAGAAATTTAATTATGTGTGTGAGTTTCCCTATCCGCATTGGACCCGCGTGGGAACAGCACAAGCCTCTTCCCATTGTGAGTGGAGGCATGTGCCTTATGGACTACAATATAGGTTAATTACAATGACCTACCAACAAATGGACGTCGCGTCTAATACAAAAACCACGAAAAAATGTCCGAAGTTAACCTACACAAACATAGTGACATGTACCGAAATATAAAAAACTAAAACATTTAATTTAAATTGCAGTACTCCCTAATTTTACTTGCAACAATTTAAGGGCTCAAATACACTATATTCAGCTTCTACTGGAAACTTAACAAAATGCATCATATTTAGCTTCGACTGAAAATTACTTGAACACAAGAGTAACGGAGTAGCCTTTGTCGCAAATTATAGTATTAATTAATTTTTATATATATTATTATGTCGATTTTTTTTTTCAAATTTACTTAAAGAAATAATAAAGAGTTGGGCAGATACATATATACAAATATTACTACAAATGTAAAAATAAGCGTGTACAATAAGAAATGTACCGATGTTACAACAAACGTAAACTCAAATATCCGTAATTCCGAAAACCGATTTATCATAAAACTTTCGAGTAATTTTGATGCTTTTCACAAAAACAAAGTTAGCTTTTGTTTTGCAATCTTCATAAAAAAATACATTTAACATTATGAAAATTCGATAACGTTATGTGGGGCAAATGTATTTTCTGACTTCTGAAAGTAAATCCCGAGCCGTAAAACGAGTAGGTATAACAATATTATGTTAGTTCTAACCGTGTTCGAAACTTAATAGTTGTTTTCAAAACTTTACGTCATATAGCCGATTTTGATGTTCTTAGGATGGTATACTTTGCTACGTGTCAAACCATTCTTCTTTACTGCATTTCATCCTGGGGTGGTGTAGCAAAAACGACTCTTATGAAACTGGAAGTGGCTCAACGAGCGGTTTTGAAAGTGGCGTCATTCCGACCATTCCTTTTTTCCAACTCGAGAACTTTTCCGAGATTGGCAAGTTCTATCCGTACGCCAACTATTTGTTCTGTACACCATCCTGAGGGTACATTCGCAGACATCTTACGATCGATCTCGGATAAGTAATTTTCGACGCCGTGATCGTGTGTGCCATTATTCGGCGTGGTCTACATCCTTTGCCCATCACTTCTTCGGCTTCCTCGGGCCCTTCTTATATAACGAATGTAATGGTGATTTGCATATTTATCCTCTAAACAAGTTGGAATGTAAGAACGTGGTCACTAAAAGGCTATTAACTTTGTCATATGAGGAAACCGAAAACCTCCTTCATGTTCCATTATAGGTAATTCCCACACACACAAACACACACTCTCACACACACACACACACACACACACACACACACACACACGCGCGCGCGCGCACACGCACGCACACACACACACACACACACACACACACACACACACACACACACAC